ATGCTCGTAGTCGGGGTCTGGTTCCTAGAGATTCTGTGCTCATGAGCTGATCAACAGTATCAGCTTTTTTTCTACTTATTTACCTCCGCGTGTACTCTGAAAACAAATATTTATGTGTAGGTATGGTTAAACTAATGGGAATGACGAGGACAAGGTGAACGGCCTGATGGCCCTGTGACCCCTCTCCTAACGAGGTCCTTTCAATAGAACTGTAGAAGTGTTACTATGTTCAGCTTCAAGCGTGAACGCCATGAACCCCTTGGAACTTGCAGTGAGGTTGAATTTTCTGAAAAACCCGGAAGGAATTTCTTGAATGCTGGATGAAGACGTCCATCAAGTATACAAAAAGGCCGTGATTTGTATTGCACTTTCTCACCTGTTTGGACTATCACCTGAGCGCCAAAACGATCGATATTCGATTTGAGAATGAGCGTGCTGTTGAATTACTGGTTCTACACGTAATCAGCCAAATGTGTCGTCATTAACTACAAAATTTTTAGGGACTACTGGACCAAAGCCCACAGCAGTATCACAATGCCATGTCACCAATGCAGACGTCGAGTTTGATGGTAGAGCATTTTTGAAATTAAAAAACTTTTTACAATGATTTTCAATTTTTTGGCTCGAGAAGTGCGATTTACTAACCAAGTAGTAAATATTCGGTTGTAAAATTAGTACAGTAATTGGTGTAGTATGTATTTGTGAATGTGTTCCATACATGATCAATCTTTTATGCGTCACAACAACCCGAGCAGACACAGTATCCTGCATTTCCACCAATTAACCAGACTGGCCACGCCCACCTCGCCCCGCAATTTGCTCACGACGTGAGTTTTTTGCTCTACCAGATCGATATTTTGCAGACAGCATCCCGTTTGTTTTTTTCAATATATCCACCTGAACTCATCCTAATGAGTTAACGTTTACATGAAAGTTTTGTGTAAAAGAAGGTGTAATTCCAATGAGGAGCTTTATTCAGAAAAATCTTTTTTTTTTTTGTATATCATGGTTTACCAACTTACAGTTGCTGGATCTATGTTGAAGTTTACATTTCTTCTTAGCTTTTTCAATGCAACAACAAAATTCGGGTTCAGCAAGCGCAATATGCAAAGAAATCTCTCCAGAGAAAAATAAACAAATCATAAACCAAGCAATAATTAAGCAGATGCCTATATTTTTCTTGGTAACACAAATTTTTACAGTAGGGCTCTACCTTTGGTGGGGGGAGGAGGGGGGCATTCTATAAAAGTTACTAGTTGCTAGTTAGTTAAGTTACTTCTCTCTATAGATCTAGCTGAGCCCATTTGAGTCCTTTGGGAGCATCCTTCTGCTTCTATCACATCTCCATGTTTTATCCGTGCCTGTAAATCCGAATTTAAATTTGTTTCTAATTTTCTCATAGATTCATTTTTTTTATTCATTGTACGTATAGATATCGATTACTTTTTAATTCAACTGTTATCGTCTTCTTGTTTAACTGTTTCAATTAAATGCATCTTGCAAGTACTTTTAAATAGTATTCAGTAAAGAATTGTTCGAGCAAGGATAGAATTGAATTGCTTTTATTTTCTACCATTCTGAGACAGAGCAAATTAAAAATGGCTATCAATTTATAGTTTCAGCGAACGATGTCAACTGACAGCGGAGCGGTTCCAGACTCCAACATGGATGTCGACTACACCTCTTCGTTAGGATTCGACCCTGTTGCTATAGCGGTAACTTTTTATTTTTTCCAATATTATCAATTTTTCAGTGAATATCAGAGTAGAGCAACCTGGTTGAATAGGGGAGAAGGTACTGTTCGCGGTGCGGTGTCCGCGTGCGGCGAGGTGCCTCCTGCTCCGCTTAGTGGGGGTGGGCCATCACCTGGAATATAGGGGACAAGGCATTCGTAGGCCATTTGCTTCGCGATGTGTCAGATGCGGCATACCTCATGGGATACCATTTCACCGAACATTTTTAGTTTTAAGGGCTCAACATAACTATATATATCGCAGTCGTAGTATTCTCCCGTTTCATCAAGGGGGGAATCGACGTTCAAGCAGGTGCAGTGGTGCTTTGGGACCAGTTTACTTTATTTGAAGAGTTTTTACAACGAAGTTCCTTCACACCTCGATCAGGATCTGCACAAAGGTCCTCGCTTTTTTCATAGACAGTTGTATAATAAATGGAATAAAAGAAGGGTAAGCCCACGCAGTGTGGAAGAAGTGGGCGGGGAAGACTAGAAGGGACCTCTCCCCCTATTGGCCCTTTTCAAGGACGCCTCTAGACTTTATTCACTGAATGTTTACTGTTTCCAATATTCACTTTTTACAAGTTTAACAAGATACAAATTACAGAAGACACTTTCAGGACATTAATCCGCACGAATTTGACAAGTACCTTCAGCTGTCCTCACATCGAGGTTCGGCGACTGTTGGTAGATATCAATGACGGACACAAATCCAATATATCGACATGTGTCGTCATTCATATAGCACTGTCCGTAATTGTATGCCGTACTTTGTTTGTTTTTATTTTTTTTTTGTGCGAATTATAACATTTACCTGACTGACGGTAAATCCCACGGAAAATCGGATAGCATTGGCTACAAAAATTTTCCTTTACAAATATGTACATCCGTCATCTCCCATCATTAGTAAAATACTACGTAGTAATTTTTCATACGCAAATTACTGTATTCATAGTGAATGTACGTGGTTACACACGTTGTCTTTTCAAATCGTTTACTATGTCAAACATAGTTCTATAGAGTTTTAGCCATTTGTACTAAGTATGAAAGTGTTTGTCTGAATTTGTGTTTTCGTGTTTATTTAGAAAGTGTGACGTCACAACGTTCATGCTTCAGATGCTTCTTCTGTGTGTAGTACGGTCCGTACGAATATATTATATATAATGCATACTTATTTATTGTCTCGTCAACTATTGGTCTTCTTTTTTATTGATTGATGTGATCGATTACAATTGCATGTTTGTCCTTTCGTCTGTTTATGAGCAAATTTCAACAGCATCACATCGTGTCTTCGTTGGCCAAATATTTCAAATGTCATATATACTACTAGTTACTACATTGATACACAGATATAGATGATATTTTGTCAAAATATATATTCATACATACAAATAATAGATTTCTAACAAAAAATGTGAGTTTTAGTGATACGAGCTTTTCATAGTCATTTTTCCTATTCTTCTTCTTCTTCCTTCTTCTTCTTCTTTTGTCCAATGATTTTATCACCTCTACTCACGATTATCATATTGATTTTATTGACTTTTTTCTTCATGTGTTTTTTCTCTGATGTGTTGGATAGATTTTTCCTTTTCTCCTTCATTTTTTTATTTCTTCTTTTCGCGGTGTTTCGTTGTTGTTTGTATATAAAAGTACGCTTGTACAAGTATCGTATATCGCGTGTACGACGTTTAGCGTGCGTTTACAGAGAGTAATGAACATTATTTTGTCCATCTGGAAGTATACACATGATTGGTGCAGTTGGTGCAGTGGCTAAAGGCGGCGCGCCGAACTTGCAACGCCGCTCGGGACGAATCCCGCCTTACTCAAAAGGGGTTTTCTCACCTTCAGGACCCTTCTAAACGACATTGGGAGGTACAGACTACCAAATGGTGATACCAGAACCATTGTAAGACTACCAGCGAAAGTTTTCTAGTTCAGACGAGCTTTTCTATGATTTGGCAGCTGACATCCTGCGAAAGTATAAACATGGGGAGCGAGTCGCGATCTTTACTCTATCCGAATGAATCGATTAAATCGTTAACATCGTAGCGCCAGAATGGATCGAATCTAATGGTGTTTATAAGAATAGCAGAGGTTTCGCCTACACTACGATGTAGGCCACGATTACCGGTGAACTGGAAGTTCCTGCAGATTCAATGTCGCGGAGGCATACTTTACTTTGTATCGTGTTTGTTTACACGACTGGCTTGAAATTTGTTTACGTACGATCATGTGTCGCCACGGTATCACCAGAAGGTGCTGCTACTACTACTGCTACAACCACTACAAGTATTCCAGCTACAGGTAGTAGTCATTCAGAAATTTGTCGGTGGAATTTAATTTTTACTATTAATAACATGTTGTCGACGTCAGCTGTGAATAGCCAGAATTTTATGTCAATAATGTCGCTTCCCAACAAATTCCCTAAAAAAATTTTAGAAATTCAAACACATAAGGTAAATATAAAAAACTAGTTGTAAATATTTTCAGTATTACTTTAAAGAGGCACCTATAACTACTAGGTGGTCACCTTCCGTTACAGTTTTTTTTTTGCAGTTAACAGTGAATTCTAGACCATCAAAAGGGCTACTGCTTATAGTTTGACATAGTTACTGGTTACATACAGTTGTGTTTCAGTTATCGTTGAGGAACCCCCTGGCTCCGGGCGATATGTGGCATTAGGATCGAACACTGTCTTGGCCCGGGCCATTCCTGCTGCTGACCTCGCTAACCTCGTGAGAACGGGTGACACTATCATCGTGGAACCAGGTGGCTCTCCAGCACCTCCAGGAACCCTTGTCGTACTGCCAGGTACGGATTCCGTGTTCGCAAGTCTGATCAAAAGATGCTGTACAGTTGTTTTTAGATACTGGTATGACAATTGTTATACCGGTTACTACCACAACAGCAAATTCTGTTACTACTATTACTGCAGGCAAGTTGGGAGTGTTTACAGTACAAGGAAAACTTATACTGCAGGCTATTTCGAAGTTATACTTCTTGCTCATACTTCTTCCTCATTCGAGAGTTTATGCTTCCTATTCCTATCATTTCAGCTCCTCCCGGACAAGGTCAAACACCTCAGCAAGGTATCTGTGTTATCTCTATTAAGTACTATGTAATAACAAACCATTTACATGATCCATCCTTATCATCCATTAATGAGTGTCATTTTAGCTCCTCCCGGGCAANGCCAAGTAACTCAGCAAGGTACATTCTTGTTCTATATCAACTAGTATTTAATAGTAAATCCACTACATGAAACGAATTTGAACTACACGAGTGAAAGCTTTACTTCAATCTTACACGTTTTATTTGGGCGTTACAAAGTGACTCTAAGAAGATGGGCGGGGCTCGGAAGTCTATAGTAGTTCGATGACCCTGCGACAACTCGTCCGTTTGCTTGGTGAATCTCACCAGAGACTGCCTTTGCTGATTCTTCGTACTTGTTATTTCTACCATTATAGATTGTATGATGTACTGTCCGTCTGTTTATCGTGACAACTGCTATGGAACTGCAAAAGCGACATGTCCTACGGCTGCGGATGCGAACACGGTCGTACAAGCAACTGGGATGGAATGCCGGTCAGTGAGATGACTAGTTGAAGAGTGATATTTAGAGGTTTTATTCTTGACGAAATCTCTTTTATCAAATGTTTATACGAGGCTGGATAGGTTTTGGGACAGTAAACAGTAAACAGCCCATTCGTTAACTGTTGAGACGCGATTTATACCGGTTGTTCGTCAACCTGTGTTGTTTTCCTTCTCCTCTGACGAATATTTATCTGCCTCTCCTAGTAAGAGATTTCTGTCTGCTGAGCAAAACGAGAGCAGGATATTTATCTGCCTTGTAAGCAGGGTGTTTGAGCGGATGTTTACACTTCTTTAGTTTTGAAAAGGAGCGTGGCTTTTTCTCTTCCGCTCTGCTCCGAGATCAAAAAGTAAAAAGCACTTGCTTCCGAGCGGCAAATTTCTGGGGGATTAGAGGTACTAACATTGAAGCTCGGAGGCCTCTAAGCTGCTAACCCAAAAGTGTACGAAAATCCTTAAGAAGAACAGAAGGCAGTAAAGCCTGGAATTAATTTCCTTCTTCTCCCTCCAATGGAGGGGTGTGCGCTCGGTCCTGCTGAACCGAATTGCCCGCCGGTCCATCGGACAGCTCGGGGAAGCCGAAGTGGGCTTCAAACGCTATCAGGCTGATTGACAGGCTGACATAGCCGGCGGGCAAGGCTGTCCAGTGTATCTTACGGTGTAGCGGCTAAGTGTCCGGTCTCATTTCTGTGAAGTGACGGGTTCGGATTCGCGGCGCTACACCGCAAATTTTGTGTTTGGTCTACGCATGAGAGCGAATTCAAGCTGGGCCTTACCTGCATTTTAGGTTAACAAACTTGGCATAAAGTGTAGACTCTGGAACACAGAGGATTCCCTACATAAGCTTACCTTGAGCATTTCAGGACTTCCCACTTACGATCTCCTTAGCAAATCATAACGCTTCAGTCTTGAAATGTTCATTTCAAAGGGTCCCTTGAGCCTTCGGAAAGTTGACGATTAGCAGCTTGCAGCCCCCTACCTAGTCTAACAATAGGCAGGTCATATTTCTTTCACAGAACAGTATAAAGGTCAAGTTAATGCAGTACTGGATGACAGTATGAAACAAGGGACCAGACATTTTCGAACCGAGAACAAGCACTTCAAAACTACTCGAAAAATGCATCATTCCATAACCGTCAAAGCTTGGCAAGATCAACCCTCCCCCGCTTCTCCGAATACTTGAAAGCCCTCAGGTGAATGACACAGCGGTTTTATACATCGCAAGCAGAAATGGTAACGGGACCAATTGACCTTTTTCACTGGCATTTAATGGTACAGTAATTCACCCCGTCACCCAAGAGCCACTGGATGAACTGCTCTGACCATGGAAATATTCAAAGTATTGGACAGTGGTTCGGTTTTCATCGGAACAGTCATTTTACACATCGGACATTAACAAGGGTCGATGAAACAGATAGAAGACTCTCCGTAGACAGAGCGACTTTGGATTGAACTGATATACCTCCTCACGGTTCCGAGTGATCATCTCCATTCCCGTACCCCGTCCCCAAGTCATCAGGCAAGCTTGGTTGCATAAGGAGACAAGTGGGCGCGGTTGCTCTTGGAGGGCTGAAACAGGGACGTGAAGGGAGCGGGAACAGATAGGGGTAAGGCACCGGATATTGACCGGCTTTGATAACCAGGGATTGAGGACTAGCGGAGCAGCCCACGGTCGTTCTGACTGCATAGGCCCATCCCTGCTGTATTCAGCAACATTTACAATGTTATATATACGGAACTACTGGTAATGGCACTGCGATAATTACCAAAACGCGAATAGGGCTAGAGATGTGTGTGCGTGTGTGGAGGCGCGAGTAAGGGGCAGCAGAAGACTTCAGAGCCGCCTTACTGCTTACTGTTTTCTACAACCCTGATAATACGATACCCTGATATACGATATGTACAATGGGTATGTTCGAAGGGAGCTGAGATCCCATTGAATGCTCGGAAGATCTCAACGATAAATAAAAGAAGGGGCTGTGAAAATTAGTATAGACGGTTGATAATGGAATGGAATGGTCGATATGTCGTTTCTTCTAAAAAGCAGCTATTCTGCTGGTTAGGCTTGCTAAGTAAAGGAATACGTTTCTGCTGTTAAAGTTACCGTAGAGTGATCTGCTGTTCATTGATCTACAATGATCAGCGCGATCGGATCGCACCGCGCGAGATCGATCGCGGCAGCGATCAATATCCGATAGACTCACCACTCCATTCCTCACACTTTTGGCTCTTTCCCCAGTTTTCCAGCGAACTCTTTACGTTTGCCTTCCATCTCTTCTTCTTTCTCATTTAATGAGTCCTCCGAGTTATATTGGGTTGTCCGAAAAGTTCCCGCCGATTTTTGGTTCATCTTTGAGTGAAAATTCCTAGAAGAAGAAATCCATTGATTGCACAATATATCCTCCATTCTGTTCAGTGAGAATTCGCC